ACTTAGGGTGGTGGGTCCACAGCTGCCCCTGGTCCCGTCCAATCCTGGGGGCCCTGATCCGCCCTGAAACCACTCCTGCCCTGCCAAGCAGCTGGAGAGATCCTTCAAAAGTGCAAATCTGCTCAAATCTCTGCCTGCCTTGGGGCTTCTGGGCCTTCTTAAAATAAAGCCCTAAGCGCCAACGGTTCGGTGGTCAGAGTTGGAACAACAATCTGAGTAACCAAATAAAGTAGTATTGTACTATATAACTCATAAAATAGATACCCTTGAGTCCAGAGTGATATAAATAAATGACTGAATACATGAATAAACGAGGGAGAAGAGACGAATCTCCCATATAAATTTCCAAAAAATTCTGATAGATAACCCCCATAAAAGAAGGGGCACAATGCTCCAGTCTTGAGCTGTGCCCACAGGGACTTCCTTCCAGAGAGGACAATATGGAAAAAGGGGAAAGAGAAGCCTGACAGTGGAGAACTCTGGCAAACACGACCCCAGTCGAACAATCAAGGTCAACGCAAACAGACATAAACCACGCTGAGTAAGCACCCTTGACATGATGTGCTGAAAACGGCATTTAACCTCTGTGATTCCCCCCCCCACACCCCAAAACTCTAATCAGGAGAAAAATGTCAGACAAATCTCAACTATGGGACATCCTAAAAACACCTGGCCCGTCTGCCTCAACACTCTCAAGGTCGCCGCAAACATGAAAGTCTGAGAGACTGTCACAGCCAAGAGGAACCTAAGGAGACATGGAGACTGAATATCATGTCATGTCTTGGATGGGGTCCTGGGACAGAAAAAAGACATTAGGGGAAAAAAAAATATGGAAATCGGAATAAACTCTGGACTTGAGTTAATAATCATGTGTCAGTATTGGTTCACAAATTGTATCAAATGTACCATGCTATTGTCCCCTGCATCGGCAGGCAGGTCCTCAACCAGTGGGCCACCAGGGAAGTCCTCATAGATTTCTTTTACGCATAGTTTTAGATTTACCAGAAAACTGAGACGATAGAATAGAGAGTTCCCATTTACACAAGCGTACTGTGTCCCCTAGTATTAACACCTTAACAATAGCATGGTACATTTGATACAATTCGTGAACCAATACTGACACATGATTATTAATTCAAGTTCAATCCGTCCGTGGTCCAGGAAGATCCTACGTGCCACGGGGCAGCTAAGCCCGTGTGTCACAACTAGGGAAAAGCCCCCACTTCCTGCAACTGGGGAAGCCCGCACACAGCAAAAAAGATCCAGCACACTCAAAAATAAAGAAATATTAAATAAAGAAAATTTTTTAAAAAGAAATATATTTTTAAAAAATTCCACCAAGAAAAATGATAAAGCCCCCCAATCCCTCCAATGAGCCAGGGTGAGACAACCAGCTGCCTGTGCCCTGGGCCACCCCCGCCTCCTCCACAGGCCCAGCTTCGACAGGACCCTTCAGCTTTGCTCTCGTCTCTATCTCCGAGATTTCTGCAGACGCTGCACTTTCCCCTGCCCATGCATAGTTAAGTCTGCCCAGCCTTCAGCTCTCAGCTTGGAAGTCACCTCCCCTGGGGAAGCCTTCCCTGGCCACCCAGATGGAAAGAGGTTCCTCTGCCACCTGGCACCCCTCTTCTGACCCATTCGCAACTGCTCACTCAGCTGTCTTCCCCAGCGAGCCGTAAGAGCAACAGGGGCAGGGCCTGTCTATGGCCCAGAAAACCCCAAGTTCATACTACTGAACCCTCACATGCATGAATGAATGAGATTCAGAAGCATCCCAGGAAGACTGGCTCCAAGGAACAAACCCCAGGGGTGAGGTGAACCAGATGTATCTTCTGTGCGAGGTTTAAAATGTGGAACCCAGGTGACCTCAGGGAGGGGACCCTGAGCAGACGGGCTAGGTACCGGACTGTACTTAACAGCACAGTCTGGATGACATAGTTGTTTTTGGTGCAGTTTTTGTGTGTGTGTGTGATTTCGTCAAAAACTTACTCCAGCCCTTGGATAAGCTTGGTTCTTTTTCCTTTTTTAATGTTTCAAATTTTACTTTTTTAAAAGCTGTACCTAAAGGTAGAGGCTACCCTGAGTGGCAGTTATGGGCTGTCATAACTTTTTTTTAAATTGAGATATAACTTATTGACTGTGAAATTCATCATTTTCAGATGTAGAGTTCCAAGAACTTTGACATATACAGTCATGTAACCTCCACAACCATCAAAACATGGAACATTTCTATCACCCCCTAAAGGTCGCCCATGGCCTTCTGTAGTCAAATCCCAAACCTAGCTACCAGCCCTGCCAACCACCAACATGGTGTCCATTCCTTACAGCTTTGCCTCTTCCAGAATATCAAATAAATGGACTCACATAACATGTTTTCTGAGTCTGACCTTTCCCACTTAGCATAATATAGTTAAGATTCATCTATTTTGTTGCATGAATCAGTGGTTTGTTTCTTTTCTTGCTGAGCAGCAGTCTATAGGATAAATAGACCAGAATTTGTTTATTCATTTACCAGCTGGTAGACATTTGGGTTGTGTCAGTTTGGGGGTGATTATGAATAAAGTTGCTGTAAACATACAAGTTTTTAGGTAGACACATATTTTCATTTTTAATGGATAAACATCTGAAAGTGGCTTTCCTAGATCGGATGGTAGATGTATGTTTACTTTTTAAGAAACTAAAGGGCAGACTATTTAAGAACCTTACTTCTTTCTTAAACACATTTTTATCAAGCACCTACTATGTCCAAAGGCAAACCAAGAGGGTCTCCCCAAACACCCACGAATGAATGCTCATGCAATCTCACCACCAGAAGCCGGGCTCCCCAGACCTTTCTCGCTCAGTCTGAGGCCAGTAGTTACTGGAGCCAGGAGGGGCAGGACGAGGTTCCTGCTCTGCCACTAAGGAGCTGAGGGGGCTGCAGATGAATTATCCCACCCATCTGTCTGGGTCTCCAGACCAACAGAGTGGCAGGTAGATCTCAGGAGATGATGGGAGGGAAAGAGCTTCTACTCCAAGATGCACCATCCAGAAAAGAGGGACTCGGACTAGCTCCATCCCCACCTACTGCCTCCCCAGTAGTAGACTTTCTGAGGTCACAGGCTACCCATTCTCAACACATCCAGCTGTGTTTAGCTCTACACAAGAAAAGGCTGTTCAAGAACATTCTATACAGGACTCAGTAGCTAAGCAGAAAAGTTTCTAATCAGCATCAGTTGTTTTGCATAGAAACAGCATTTCTGACTACTTGCTGTGAGGGTTAATTTTAAGCTATGACTTGGCCATCTACTCAGATATTTAGTCAAACACCAATGTAGATGTCACTGTGAAGGTATTTTTTTAGATGAGTCATTATTGTTCAGTCACCCAGTCCTCTTCGACTCTGTGCAACCCCATGGACTGCAGCACACCAGGCCTCCCTGTCCCTCACCATCTCCTGAAGTCTGCCCAAGTTCATGTCCATTGCATCAGTGACACCATTCAGCCATCTCATCCTCTGATGCCCTCTTCTTCTGCCGTCTGTCTTTTCGAGCATTAGGGACTTTTCCAATGAAAATAGCATTTAACCCAGTAGACTCTGAATAAAGAAGATTACCCTTCATAACGTGGGTGGACCTCACCCATCAGTTGAAGGCGTTACGACAGAAAGACTGAGATCCACCAAGGAAGAGGGAGGTCTGCCAGTACGTGGCCTTTAAACTCCAGTTACAACATCTGTTCTTCCTCAGGTCTCCAGCCTGCTGACCTGCGTTGCAAATCTTGGATTTGCCAGTCTCCACATTTGTATGAGCCAATTCCTTAAAATAAATTTCTCTCTAAAGAGGCAGTGCATGCTAAGTCACTCAGTTGTGTCTGACTTTTTGTGACCCCATGGACTGTAGCCTGCCAGGCTCCTCTGTCCATGGGATTCTCCAGGCAAGAATACTGGAGTGNTCTAAAGAGGCAGTGCATGCTAAGTCACTCAGTTGTGTCTGACTTTTTGTGACCCCATGGACTGTAGCCTGCCAGGCTCCTCTGTCCATGGGATTCTCCAGGCAAGAATACTGGAGTGGGTTGCCATTTCCTATTCCAGGCTAAAGAGGCAGACCTTAGAGGTATTACAGGTTTGGTTTCAGACCACCATAATAAAGCAAGTATCACAATAAAGTGAGTCACAAGAATTTTTTGGTTTCCCAATGCAAAAAAGTTATTTTTATACTGCACTATAGACTAGTAAGTGTGCTGTACTATGTGTAAAAAAACCAATGTATATACCGTAATTAAAAAAAATACTGCTAAAAATGCTAATCAGTGAAAAATGCTAATCACTGAGCCTTCAGTGAGTCATAATCTTTTTGCAAGAGTAACATCAAAACTCACTGATCACTTCCTGGTGGTCCAGTGGCTAAGGGGCCTGGAGTTCCATTCCTGGTTAGGGAACCAGACCCCACATGCTACCACTAAAAGTCTGCATACCACAACTAAAGATCCCACATGCCACAACTCAGAGTCGGTGCAGCCACGTAAATAAATAAAATAGGTAAATATTAAAAAGATCACTAGTCACAGATCATAATCACATATATAGTAGTGAGAAAGTCTGATGTGGCACAGAACCATGAAGTGAAAAAACGCTGTTGGAAAAATGTCACCAATAGACTTCTCAACTCAGAGTTGCCACAAGCCTTCACTCCGTAAAAAACTCAGTATCTGCAAAGCACAATAAAATAAGTTATGCCTGGATATGTGAGTATATATCCGATTGGTTCTGTTTCTCTGGAATATGCTAATACACCAATGCTTACACAGGGCATCCCCACAGTTACACGGAGAGTTTGCTCGCAAGGGTAAACTTCGGATCAACCACAGGCCAAACGATCATACATGGCATCATGGGTACAAACTGTCAACACCTTCTTGGCACCCTCCTAAATGCAGCTCCCCCACAGCTTATGGGGCAGAGACGGCCAGGCCCCTCCTCTCTGGGGACAGCAGCTAGGAGGGAGGGTTCTCTACAATACCTGCTTAAGTCCTTGGCCAGACGTTGGCAGGAGGGAACGGAAGCTTCGACTCCATCACCAGCTGGGGCGGAAGGCAGAGATGCGTATTCTGAGGCCGGAGCAGTGAGATCCACGCGGGCAGCAGCTGGGATGGTGCTGGGGACACAAAGGGAGAATTATTCCCAGTGGAACTCGGCTCATTAATGGCACATTCATCAGCCCCCCTCACCCCTCCCAACCCACCCACACATTGGCGTGGGGTATTTAAAGACCCAGCACACTGCTGGCCGGGACACCCCACAGGGTTCCCCAGGCCTCTGCTTAGACACAGTGGAGGGGGGTGCACCCTCCAGTGAAGCAGCCCCCAGGCCAGGCGGTTCCCCAGGCCTCTGCTTAGACACAGTGGAGGGGGGTGCACCCTCCAGTGAAGCAGCCCCCAGGCCAGGCCGTGAATCCCCCTCCCCACGGAGGCTGCAGCAGAACCTGGGGTTTCTTTGACGGAGCAGCTGGGGTGTCAGAACACTCTGAGTTGTCCTGAGTTCTGTGTGTGTGTTTCATAGGATCATTTCTAATCGCTTTTTAATAAGCAGTGAATCTCTGTGAGTTGAACATTAAAATGCAATTTTGCAAACTCCCCAGGATTTGCCGCCACCAAATCTGAGGCTGAGAAAAGTCAAGGTGGGGCGGCTGATGGGTAATCAAGGAAACTGCATCAGGGACCTTTCGGGATGCCTTTTCGCCGGTGACGGCCTTTCAGAGCAGAGCCCTGTCCCTGGTTCAATGGGTGAGTGCCCCCTGCTGGACACATAGGGAAACGCCGGGAGTGCAGGCTGGTCAGCAGGTGGGAAGGCAGGAAGGACGGCCACCTGCAAACACGCCCTTGGAGCCAAAAGGCACCAGGCCTAGAGCTCAGAAGATGTTTTCATTTCCCCCTCTGGCAAAAGCAAGATGAGCAATGCCGCCCACAGACTTCCAGGGAGGGTCAGCCCTCCCAGCCTCTCCAGCTGTCCTCTCGGCTGTCCAGGGTGGGGCTGGAATTAGAAGGGACTCAGCACCAAGAGCCTGAAGCCCAGCCAGAGGTCGAAGCTGAGGTTACAAGTTTCACAGCCTCGTGGCAGGGACTCATTTCTTCCCTGTGGGCGTGAGTTCCTGCAGGAAGCTCCCCCACTGCAGGAAGGTAGGAGGCTCAGCTATCCGTGTCAAGGTTCTGCTGATCTCCACCTCCTCCAAGTCCACCTACAAGGTGGCTTCCTGGCCTGAAGGACGGGTGTGGAGCCCCGTCCCCTGCCCAAGAGAGCAATTCTGAGTCCTGGCCTGTCTTCACTCATCAACAGCTACAAAAACAGCAGCAAGTCAACCCGGCTGATGCCCAGTCCTGCATGCCTGATCCTGGATGCCCAGGCGTGAGTGGCTCTGTTCTAGGTGCCTGACCCTGTGGGCCTGGTCCTGTGCTGGGAGCTTTACGTACGTAACCTCAGGCGCCCCTACAACAACCTCTGAGTCATATGCCATCATCCTCACTCGACAGAGATCAAAGCTAAGGCTCAGTACTTGCTTTGGCAGCACATACACTAAAATTGAAATGATACAGGTAGGATTAGCATGGCCCCTGTGCAAGAACGACACACAAACTTGTGAAGCGTTTGATATTTTTGAATGAAGAGACTAGAATGGAAACAAATACATAGCCAGTGGGAATTTGCTCTATGACTCAGGGTCCTCAAGAGCGTCCCAGGTGGCGCTAGTGGTAAAGAACCCACCCGCCAAAGCAGGAGACGTAAGAGACGTGGGTTCCATCCCTGGGTTGGGAAGATGTCCTGGAGGAGGGCGTGGCAACCCAATCCAGTATTCTTGCCTGGAGACTCCCCATGGACAGAGCAGCCTGCGGGACTACAGTGCATAGGGTCGTGCACAGAGGCAGACACCACTGAAGCAAGTGAGCACGCATGCACATACGCAGGGAGCTCAAACCGGGCTCTGCGACCACCTGGAGGGGTGGGATGGAGTGGGAGGTGGGAGGGAGGGTCAAGAGGGAGGGGACATACGTATACCTAAGGCTGATTCATGTTGATGTACGGCAGAAACCAGCGCAACATTGTAAAGCAACTATCCTTCAATTAAAAATAAATAAGTTTTTTAAAAAACCTAAGGCTCAGACAGGTGAGGTCACTTGCCCAAGGTCACGGAGTGGGAAGCGGAGCCAGGATGTGAACCCAGACTCTGAATCCTGAGCCACCTCCACGTCCACTTTCTAATGGACTCCCCAGCACACACCTGGAAGCCCCTAACTCCTCCTCAGTGACATGCATCACCAGGGACTTGAAGACCACGAGGGAGACTGAATTCCCTGAGAACAGGGGCCGGATCTGCCAAGAGTCATCCCAGCCGCCCGACGTCTAGCTGGGCCACCCCCAGTGGGCACTCAGACAGGCAGAGGAAGAGCCGGGAGGGGGTCCCAAAGGGCTATGACCACAGAGGCTTTGGGGAGCAGGAGCAGAGCTGGAACCCACAAGACCTTCGCCCCTGGGCCTCACGGAAACAAGGAGCAAAACAGACCAGAGAATAATGACCCCGGGTAAGTCCACAGCAAGGCAATCCACACGCGAACAAAAATTATAATGAGTTCGTGGACAGGACCAGCAAACGTGCAGAGTGGGGTTACAGATGGCACAATGCCTCCGCCATTCAAATCGCTGTTTGTAACAACACGGGCAGTGGCTGAAATATTTTGTAAATGTACGTGCTCAGTCACGTCCGACACTTTGTGACCCCATGGCCTGTGGCCCACCAGGCTCCTCTGTCCATGGGATTTCCCAGGAAAGAATATTGGAGTGGGTTGCCATTTCCTTTTCCAGGGGATCTTTTCAACCCAGGGATCAAACCTGCGTCTCTTGCATTTCCTGCATTGGCAGGCATATTCTTTACCACTAGGGCCACATGGGAAGGTATTTCATAAAGAAACGACTCAAATGAATAATGCAAATTACTGGGGGCTGTTAAACTCCTTAAGAAAGCCATTTCATCATCTGGAAAGTTTTATTCCTATTCTTGACAGTGAACAGGCTACTCACAAACCCAAACTCCTAGTCTAAAATTTATTTTCTAAAGAAACTACACTGGCCGGGCCCCTTCCCCTGCACACCCCCTGAAGATCCTATTTTGCTGTTGTTCAGTTGCTTAAGTCGCGTCCTACTCTTTGTGACCGCATGGACTGCAACACGCCAGGCTTCCCTGTCCTTCACCATCTCCCGAGAATTTGCTCAGATTCATAACCCTTGAGTTGGTGATACTATCCAACCATCTCACCCTTTGCCAGCCCCTTCTCCTTTTGCCTTCAATCTTTCCCAGCATCAGGATCTTTTCCAATGAGTTGTCTCTTTGTAACAGGTGGCCAAAGTATTGGAGCTTCAGCTTCAGCATCAGTCCTTCCAATGAATATTCAGGGATGATTTCCTTTAGGATTGATTGCTTTGATCTCCTTGCAGTCCAGGGCACAAATCTTCTCCAGCACCACAATTTGAAAGCACCAGCTTTTCAGCACTCAAGCCTTCTTTATGGTCCAACTCTCACATCCATACAAGACTACTGAAGAAATCATAGCTTTGACTAGACGGACCTCTGTCAGCAAAGTGATGTCTCTGCTTTTTAACATGCTGTCTAGGTTGGTCATAGCTTTTCTTCCAAGGAGCAAGCATCTTTTAATTTCATGGCTGCAGTCACCATCTACAGTGATCTTGGAGACCAACAATATAAAGCCTGTCACTGCTTCCACTTTTTCTCCTTCTATTTGCTGTGAAGTGTCTTATTTAATGCAAATTGAGGACAGGTGACATGGTCTGTGGTTCTGCAGTTTAGGACTCCCATCAAAGTGCAAGGAAAGGTTTCCGTCTTCGAAAACACTGGCAGAGGGCAGGCTCTGCCGGCTCAGAAGAAGGCCAGGCCCACAGAGGAAGCACAAAGGCCAACTCATTGTGATGAGGATGCCCTGAGGCTGACTGTCCCCGCCCCTGAGAACGCCCTGGGGTTCCCTCAGTTCTCTGGCCTGGAGACCAGGGTGCCTTCCCCCTCCATCCTTCACTCCGGTGGCACCTGATCACCAGGGCCACACCCATCCTGCATTCGCCTGTTCCCATCAGCTAAAAGCACCAAACAAATGACTCAACAGCTCTCTTAAGAACAGGGGCACCCCTCCCTCCTGGTCTGCAGCCTGCCCTTGGCCCAACCCCAGAGGCGGGGAGGTCAGGTCCCAACAGGGAAGGGCTCAGTGACTCACGACTGAAGCTCTGGCACATGGGCACCTACTGATGCCTCCCGACCCCACAGAACTCCCCCTCTTCCCTCCTATCCCCCCTCCCCCAATTTCTCCACATCTTGGCAACTGGCCCCACCAGCCATCCAGGCTCTGGACCAGAAGTTGAAGCTGTCCTGGACTCTTCCCACCATCATCGCCCTATGTGCTGAGTCACCTCCCTTTTCCTGCCGGAATCTGCCCTCTTTGTCCTGCTGGTCCAGGCCAGCAGGCTGTCTGAGGGGGCTCCGGCACATCCTGCTTTTCATCCCCTGCATCCATCTCCCCCAGACACCAGAATGCCCCACCTAGAGTCCTGATGAGGTCCTTTCCTTGCCAGAAGCCCTCTCCCACTTTCCACTATCTTACACCTAACAAAATGCAGGTGAAATTCCTGGGCTTCAAAAACTGGGGCTTCATCAGCCTGCTGTTCCCTCCCAGGGTTACCCTGTCACTGTCCTGACCCCACCAAGCCAGTCTGGGGGCTCCTGGGAGCTTCCTGCCTCTGTGTCTTTGCCCCTGAATCCCCGCCTACCTCTCTCAGATCCCCTCCTGTGCTAAGTGACTTTAGTCATGTCTGGCTGTTTGTGACCCTATGGACTGGAGCCCACCAGTCTCCTCTGCCCACAGGATTTCCCAGGCAAGAATACTGGAGTGGGTTGCCATGCCCTTCTCCAGGGGATCTTCCCAACCCAGGGATCGAACTCACATCTCTTGTGTCTTCTGTATTGGCAGGCAGGTTCTTTACTACTCACGCCACCTGGGAAGCCCTCCTAGCTGACCCCATAAACGAGGAAGTGCTCCCAACCCCCAGCAGGGGTAATGATGCCCGTCCTGCATTGCTGGGCTGGGCTGGGCCTGGCATCTG